ATACTGGGAATCGAACTCAGGACCTTGGACTTGCCAGGCAGGCACTTATGTCGCTGAGCTATCTCCCTGGCCCAGGGCAACGACTTCAGCGAGGAACTTGTGAACAGAGGCTATTTCATGGCAGGGCTCTGGCTACAGCCTGCCTCCAGTTTGCCACAGGAGACACAGAGCCATTAAAGAGTGAGAGGCAGGTGGGGTCAGGCTAGAGGTCAGAGCACTGCTAGGACAGAGCCATCTACTGGAAACAGGAGGTGCTGGATGTAGCAAAGCTTTCTGGAAGAGAGGAGTGGTTGAGTTGGAAGGGCTAGAAAAGAGGACAAGGATCCTGAGAAGGGAAAACGGACTAGAGGCCAAGAAGGGTAAGTTGGAGGCCCTTATCCCTAGGATTTTTCAGGACTCTTAGAGGAATCTAGGTTCACCAGGTTGGCCCCACCCTACAATGTCTTAGGAAACAGAGTCCTGTCCCCAGGCAGTTCCTCTCTTCATGTTGCAATGGCAGAGTTTCTGGCTGGGGGAAAAGGGTGGGGACCCTTGCTCAATGACTTGCTGCTGTGTTGCTCGGAGGACACAGATGTCATTGAAGGTTTGGCCTACTGGGGAGCTTCCGCAAAGGACCTTGGTGGCCCCGGCTCCTGACCTGGGACTTTTCCTGGTGTGGGGGTAGGAGTGGAGCTCTGGAGGTTGGTGCCCATTTTTGTTCTGGCACCACAGGAGACGCAGGGACTTTGGGGCATGCCGACCCAGACTGGACGTGGAGGGAGGGCTCCAGGGCAGCCTTTGGCAGCGACTGGAGCCTGAGAGAACCCCAGATGGAGAGAACGGAGTCTAAATTCCAATGTGTGTCTGTGTATACGTGTGTCTGAACTTATTTTTATTTTTTTTTTTTGGTGGAACCGGGGATTGAACTCAGACCCTTGCAATTGCCAAGGAAGCGCTCATTCTAATGAGCCATCTCCCCGGCCCACGTGTATATGTGTGAACTTGAGAGGCAGTCTTATGTATATGCACTTTTTTTTTTTTTTCTGCTACAGGAATTGAACCCAGGGCCTTTGCACTGAGCTACATTGTAAGCCCTTTTTAAATTTATTTTGAGACAAGGTCTGGCTATGTTGCTATATTGCCCAAGCTGGGTTCAAATTTGCAATCTTCCTCCCTGAGTCTCCCAGAGTGCTGGAATTGGAGGTGTGCACCATCACACCTGGCCAGGCTTCCCCATTTTTTTTTTCTTTAATAGGGTCTCACTATATTGCCAAATTGGTCTTTTTTTTTTTTTTAAAGTTAATCTTTATTTATTTATTGTGTGTGTGTGTGTGTGTGTGGTCAGCTCAGCCCACCAGGGGGCGGGGCTGGTTGGCATGTGGTGCTGGGGAATCGAACTGTGGTCCCTGTGCTTTGCCAAGCTTGTTCCAAATAGGTGCTTTAGACCACTGAGCCATCTCTCCAGCCCGCCAAATTGGTCTTGAACTCCCAAGTGATCTTCCTGCCTCAGCCTCACAATTGCTGGTACCACAGCAGGCTTGTGGCAGCACCATGTTTGTGTATGTTCTATTGTACATCAGAGCTGGGGCCCACTGCAGAGTTGTGGTGGTGTGTGGTGGTGGTGGCAAGCATATGCAGTGAGTGTTGTGTGCCTCTGTGCTGGTGTGAGTGTGTGCTTGTGTGTTGGTGTCAGGTGGGTGTGAGTAGGAGGGAGCTGGTCTGGGCGGCGTGTCCTTTGTGAGGGTTGATGAGTATGTGTGCCAGGGGCAGTAGGAAGGAAAATGAAGACTGAACTTGTGCTGGGGCAGAGCCCAGGCCTTCTGGCTTCCTGAGGAGGGCGGGAGCGGGCAGCTGGCTGGCAGGAACGCTGGCAGGGCCTTCATCTTTCATGTCGTTCTGTCTTCCCCTCAGGTCTCCTGCCCCTCCCAAGGACTATGCTGCAGTCCTGCTGACCCAGGAGTAGGGGCCTGAAGGGTGAGTAGAGTCTGGGGGTTACTGAGGCTTTCTGGGTCAGGAAACAGAGTGGGGGTGGCCTTCCTGGGCCCCACAGCGCCTAGCAGCCCCCTCCTCCTGCTGGGCCCTGTTGCTAGGTAACAGATGGGGGAGCCAGAATGAAGCAGCTTGAGAGGCCAGAGGCTGGACCCAGGACAGGAAATGGCCTTGATCCCCCTCTGCAGGGAATCTCCAGGTGCAGGCACACAGCATGCACGTGCACACACACGAGCGCACACACGAGCGCACACACTTCGATGCGTACACACACAGGGGGACGTGCACATATGCACAGATCCAATTCAACAGATCAGGCACAAATGCTTCCACACAGAGCTACATACATAGGCGTAACCACACAGACCAGAGACACCTACTTATACAAATCTGTGTGAACAGAGGGATACCCACAGATACTCTAACAAAAATACACACACACACACACACACACACACACACTCATTAAGATGTACACACAGCCAAACGCATGTGCAGCAGTTTACACAAGTCTGCATACATACATACATTTATTTATTTATTTATTTATTTTATTTATTTTTGGCGGAACCAGGGATTGAACTCAGGCCCTTGCGCTTGCCAGGGAAGCGCTTATTCCACTGAGCCATCTCCCTGACTCCTGCATACATACATTTAGCAAGAGCTAAACATACATATAGCTCAGGATTCAGCTCAGCGTAGGACGCTTGCCTAGCAAGCTGGAAGCCCTGGGTTCGGTCCTTGGCACCAAACACAAAAAATAAACCTCCTCTAAGAGGAATTCAGGTGACAAAAGGCTCCACATGTATGCCATAGAGTGGTATCATAAAAAAAAAATAAAACCCTGTAAGGGGCTGGTGAGATGGCTCAGTGGTCTAAAGCACCTACTTAGAACAAGCTTAGCAAAGCACAGGGACCACGGTTCAATCCCCCAGCACCACATGCCAGCCAGCCCCGCCCCCTGGTGGGCTGAGCTGGCCACACACACACACACACACACACACACACAAATAAAATAAAAATGTGTTTTTTTTTAAAAAAAGGAGACAACTGGTAAAAAAATAAAAAACAACAACAACATAATATACACATGCATACATACTTAGAGAAATACAAAAACACAGATGCACCAGAACCCTGAAGGAGTCACAGAAACACAACAAAGCAAAGCAGTTGGAGGGCAGGGAGAAATGGCTCAGTAGAATAAGCACTTGCCTAGCAAGCTCAAGGGCCTGAGTTCAGTCCCTGGTTCCGCCAAAAAAAAAAAAAAAAGCAAAGTAGCTGGAGCAAAAATGTTTCAACCAACTCAACAACATCTTGATGTAGAAAACTAGTTCCAGAAAGCTGGATGTGGGGTGGTGTACACTCTTGGGAGGCTGAGGTCGGAGGATTGTGAGTTCCAGGCCAGCATAACATATCAGGGCCCTGTCTCAAAAATACCAACACCAGGTCTGGTGGCACATCCTGTAATCCTAGCTCTGAGGAGGCTAAAGGATTGCCAGGAGTTTGAGGCCAGAATGGGCTACATAGTGAGACCTTGTCTCCAAAAAGAAGGAGGAGAAAGAGGAGGAAAAAAGGGAAATGAAAAAGAAGAGGAAGAATGAGAAGAAGATAAAGAAAGAAAAAAAAAGAGGGCTGGCCAAATAGCTCAGCAGATTAAAGTGCCTGCAAGCAGGCACAGGGGCCTATGGTTCAATCCCAGGCCTGCTGTGCTGGCCCTGTCCCCGGGGCACCCTGAGAGGGCAAATGAGACTGGGCATGGTGGTGCGCACCTATAATCCCAGCTCTTATCCCAGCTCTTGGGAGGCTGTAAACAGGTAGATCACTATGAGTCTGATCTAGTAGTGAGACCCTTGTGTGTGCATGTGTGTGTGTGTGTGTGTGTGTGTGTGTGTGTGTGTGTGTACATGCTTATGTGCATAGCAGGTACACCTGGCAGGGTCCCTGAATGAGGCGTGTCCCCATTCTACAGCAGGGTGCCCAGCATGGGCTGTGTGTTCTGCAAGAAGTTGGAGCCGGGGCTCAAGGAGGATGTTGACCTGGAAGAGAAATTCAGGAGCCATGGGGCTGCAGATCGCTACGGCCCTGACCCCACTCAGTCCTGGCCTGCATCCTCCTTTGCCCAGATCCCCAACTACAACAACTTCTCCTCTCAGCCCACCAGCCCTGCCTTCCTTGATGCTGGCGCTCTCAGGGGCATCTCAGGTGAGTCCAGAGGGCTGGAGCCAGGTGCTGCCTGGGTCCTAAAGGACACTAGGGAAGTGGAGAACTGGACTCCTGTCCAGAAGCTTCAGACTAATTTGGGAGACACAGCTCAGTTTTTGAGCTCAGGCAGGCTGAGAAAATGGGCACAGCTCTACTCTGGAACCCTGCTCTGAGGGGTGCTCTGAAAGGGGACACTAAAGACAGGTACACATGGTAAACAGGACTCTTCTGATCTCTTAGGTGCCACTGCCCAAGTGGAAAGTCTCGAGGGGGAAGAGGTGGAGTGGGCAACTTGGGGACTGCCCACGGTGACAGAGGCATGAAGCTATGTGTCCTGGACCCATGGGTGCACAATCTGTGAGACCCAAACCAGAAATCCACTGGACTCCATAGGTCTTTGGGAATTAGGGTGCTGCATCAGTGGGGAGACTCAGTGCCTGGCTGGGGAACAGGAATCTGGGGATGCTACCCTCTTGTACCCCACTCTGTGCCCTATTCCGCTGAGCAACCTTGACTCTTCAGGGACTGGGGTGACCTTGTTCATCGCCTTGTATGACTATGAGGCCCGGACAGAGGACGACCTTACCTTCACCAAGGGCGAGAAGCTCCACGTCCTGAACAATACGTAAGTAACCGGGCTACACAGCTCAGGGCATGGTCTTGGGTTGGGAGCATGACCCAGAGAAGACTCCCACCTGGTCACTATCTGCAGAAAGCTCCAGCCTCATTGGTAAAAATCCTCAGTCAAGGCTAGAGGCATAGGTCGATGGTACAGGCTTGGCTGGCACTCATCCCAGCTCTTCACAAAAATCACAAAACAAAACAATAAAATAAAATAAAGCCAGCTGTGGTGGCACATGCTTGTAATTCCAGCTCCTTGCAAGTTCAAGGCCAGCCTAGGCAACTTAGTCACATCCTGTCTCAAAATTTATTTATTTATTTATTTATTTGCAGAACCAGGGATTGAACTCAGGTCCTTGTGCTTGCCAGGGAAGCGGTTATTCTACTGAGTCATCTCTCCGGGCCCCCTGTCTCAAAATTTAATAAAAAGAAAAGCTCAGTAGAATAAACACTTGCCTGGCAAGCGCAGGGTCTTGAGTTCAATCCCTGGTACTGCAAATAGCAAAAAAAAAAAAAAGAAAGAAAGAAAGAAAAATAAATAAATAAATAAATAAGAAAAGGGAGGCTAGGGATATAGCTCAGTGGTAGAGCATTTGTCTAACATGTACAGTCTTGGGTTCAACCCCCAGCACTGTCAAAAACAAAACAAAAGAAAAATACCCTGGATGTCGCACCCCATAATCCTAGCACTCAGGAAGCCAAAGCAGGAGGATCGCTGTAAGTTTGAGACCAGTCTGGGCTACATAGTGAATTCAAGGCCAGGCTGAACTATACAGAGAGATCCTGCCTCTCGTATAGAGAGGAGAGAGGGGAGATGGCTCAGTGGAATAAGCGCTTCCCTGGCAAGCGCAAGGGCCTGAGTTCAA